GCCGGCCCCAGGGGTCGGCGGATTAGTGTTGTTATAATTTTCAAAATCATTATCATTATCATTGTTTCTATTTTTAGTATCATTATTTTTATTCTTATTGCTGGTATTATCCTTTTTATGTATCATTGTCATCATTATTCTGCGTATAATTGATCTTGTCAATTAGTACACATTTATGGCACCATAGATGTGCGAATTCTTTCTACAAGGCAATTGCAAAACACAGGGGAAATTAGAAAGCCTCGACATGGAAGAGCAAACTTGAAAAGCCAACTTGTCACGACAGAACTGATGATGATGCTGATGATGAAGAAGAGGATGCTGATGATGAAGAAGAAGGTGATGAAGACGAAGAGAATGACGGTGAAGATGTCGATGATTACCATCATGGTGGTGGTGATGGTGATGACTGTCATTGTGATCTAATCGCGCCTCTATGTGAACATCACCATGATGGCTTTTTTGCTATACTCTCCTCGGAGTCTTGTTGTTCACAACCATTGCTGTAATGAGAACATCGTTACATGGCATTCTTGTCTTGGTCTTTGTGCTGTGGCAATTATGGTTATTTACTGGTGGTTAGTAGGGAATAATGGAATGCATTCTAAAGCTATCATATAGGGATTATATTTCGTTACGAACCACCAGTAAGATTATGAGAGCCTGGTCAATGCTGCTCTGTTTCCAGGTGGTAGCTTCCAAGTTTTTCGAGGTCTTCGCACGCGCCGGCCCTGATCCTTGGACCATACAGCCGAAAGGCTAATCAAATAGGAGGCTTCCTGGCTTCGGCTTTCTAGGCTCCCTTTGTATCAAAACTGAGGCGTGTCAATGTAGGGGCTCAAGAGGTTTGAGTGAGTATCCTGAGTGAGAGACGGGTTTTCAGTTTTGGATGTCCGCTCCTGATTTGACCTTCTATCCCATCATTGTTGTTGTCCTGTGCTGAGATAACTACGTTCATGTTACCAGGCGTCAATTTTCCAGAGCATCCATGTTGGCCCAGATGTTGGCATGTGCCAGGGCACCTATCAGATATTTGCACGCATGTTAGCCTGGTTGAGAAGTGCGCTTGAACACCCGAGGATTTGAACATCCGTGCTGACCCAGACAAGTACGTCTTTATTACCTGAGCACATCCATGTCAGCCAGCCCAGACAGTTACCCTGCAGATACACTAGAATTCTACAACATCTGGGCGCGCTTAACTACTGTAACTCCTAGGGCTCTAGAAATATAACCCCTAATATAACCCCTAATATAGCCCCCAATATAACCCCTAATATAGCCCCCAATATAACCCCTAACATAACCCCCAATATAACCCCTAATATAGCCCCCAATATAACCCCTAATATAACCCTCAATATAACCCCTAATAGAACCCCCAATAGAACCCCCAAAAAAGCACGAGTTCCTCCATCAGTAGTATTTCACCATGACTGTCACAGGCGAAGTTGACTTCAAGGGAAAAATTGTAACGAGTCCTCCAAAAAAATTTGAACTTAAAGCCTAGCTTACGATTATGTAGGGGTGACATAGGGGCTATATGAGCTATGGTCTAAACTCCTTAAAGGGGGGTTATATAGGGGATTATATAGGGGACTACTACAGGGGTTATTAAGGGGGATACTAGTTTAGACAGTAGCTCATATAGGGATAATGGAAAAGAAAATGGAAACTACTATAGTATATCGGGGTTATACAGGGATTGTAGTTGAGATGACTACCCTAAAATCCAAACATAGTCCAGGATCCCGAATCTCATCTCGAAGTTCTGAACCCTGAGACAACGATGTGCGGTACTTTCAGGTTGGAAAAGAAAATGGACACTACTATCATACGGGGGTGATATAGGGGTTATATAGTGATAATGGAAAAGAAAATGGAAACTACTACGTACAGTATATTGGGGTTATATAGGGGTTATATTGGGGTTAGTATCATTATTCTTATTATTTCCCCCCTAGTAGTCTTTTCTTCCTTTGCCTGCGCTTCGTGCCATTGCCACCCAGGACCGGAAGCTGACAACCAGCTTGGCCCGCGGCGCAGCCTGCGTTAGCATCTTTTGCCTTAGTTATTAAGCGTATATAGGCATTAAGGGTTTGGGGTTTGGGGTCAAGGGTTAAGGGTTTAGGGTTTGGGGTTCAGGGTTTAGGGTACCCATCATGGGTATTTTGGGATTATTTAAGGATGATGGAAAAGAAAATGGAAACTACTATCTAGGGTTTAGGGTTCAAGGGGTTTCCCAAAATTCGGGGTACCTTTAAGCGGCGATGTGAGGGTTATGGGGTTGCGGGTATAGGGTTTCCCAAAATTACGGATACCGTTTGGGGGTCCCTATAATGAGGGTTATAACATTTTGGGACTTTTATTTGCTTCATGGATTGTTTCTTTGTGCGAACAAGCCCTTTACTGGTGGGGATCCTGGCCGAAAGGAGTGCTTACTTTAAGGGGGTAAATCATAAGGTGGCATGTAGGACCTCTAGGATCCCAGAGAGACGGATCCTCAACGAAGAGCCAAGAAAGCTAAGCAGGTCGACTTTCCTAATCCTTCCGGTGGCTAGTAGGGACATGGAACAGAAGCCCTTTGTGATCCCTTTGTAACATATTCCTTTATTCCCTGGTCACTCCCAGTAAGTATATTTTTTGCCTCTCTTGGGTACAGGATCCTCACAGTTAGTACAAGCACTGCTGCAAGGAGGGCTCATGGTGTGTAAGATCCGGTGATTGAGGAATTTGTGCGTAGCGGTTCGATGTACCATGCTTTCACATAAGTACTCACATTGGAGAGAAGCTAGGGGTGTGATATGAAGACGTCTTTACGTCTGCTCCTCCAGCTATACCTGACTTTGCACGATTTTGCACGTCTTTAACAATATATACCCCATAATCCCGAAATAACCTAATATATACCCTATATTACCCAATATATATACCCTACAAGACCCAGGCGCTCTCGACCAATTGCTGGCATCCATCGACGCCTTGCGGGCTTTGGAGATCTTGCTACCCCAGGCACCTCGCCCAAGCATGCCCCCCTTGATACACTAGAGGGTTTCGGGTTTGTAGGGTTTAGGGTTATATATGGATAATGGAAAAGAAAATGGAGACTACTAGGGGTTTACTGCCCCCCTTAACAGTAGTTTCCATTTTGTTTTCCATTGCCCCTACATGACCCCAATATACTATACAGCACTTTCCATTTTACTTTCCATTATCCCAATATATCCCCTATATAAACCCTATATAACCCCAATGTAACCCCAATATACTACAGTAGTTTCCATTTTCTTTTCCATTATCCCAATATATCCCCAATATAACCCTAATATACTACAGTAGTTTCCATTTTATTTTCCATTATTCCAATATTGATGCATACCTATTCCGCCTGTTGTTTGAGTCGGACGGGGCCGCAGTCGAGGCCCTTTGCCCTGGGCAGGGATTCCCATTAGCCCAAACAAGCTATGAGCCCGAGCACCCTATAAAAGGCACAGGGATAATGGGATAATGGAAAAGAAAATGGAAACTACTATAATATATTGGGGTAATATGGGGATAATGGAAAAGAAAATGGAAACTACTATAGTATTATAGGGTTATATATTGTCAATTGCATGGGAATCAGCAGACAAACCTCGACGAGATTCCCTGGAGCCAGACTT